ATTTTGGTATCCCATGAATACCAAACTGTGACCCTTGACCTCTACTTATCTATACTGCTGTACGCGGAGTTGTAGTTAAAAACTAGTAACTGTATGACTTTCTCTGTGTAATGATAAGTACGTTGCTTTGAGCAAATAATGCTCCGGGTTTGATACCCGGATTCCCGGTCAGGTAAATTTAAAAAAATAACTTTTTAAATTCGCTCAAATCTGAGTATTCTGAATTATGATCTTAGATAATACTAAATAATAGCTATGTCCCTAATAACACAAGGTATCCTAGTCTAAAGGGATGAGCAGCAGCATCCTTTTTAAAATATCGCCAAAAGCTAAAACTGCGGTTACCAATCTGCCTGCCAAGCGTGGCAGCTACTGGCAAAACCCCCCCTAATGGTAAATTGCCATAAGGAACGGCCAAGTTCCTCATGACAGTCTACGGAGGAGGCCTATGTTCAGCAGTGGACAAATAACGGCTGATTCATCACTTATTTATTTATTAAAATATATAATACCACACCATAGACATCACAGTGCCTGTTATGGCCATACTGCTGTTCATGTCTATAGGCGACGGTTACCGCTTTCCGTCATGCGAACCGTCGTTTTGTTTACCATTTTAAATCTTATAAAATAAATTATTTTTAGGAAACATATGCCCAGTCTAATATTAAACATGTCTATCTCAAAAATAGTAAAATCAATATTGAACTTATTAAATTACTAATGTTATTGTAATTATTCCGCCCCCGCTAAAGCAAACAGATATCGATTCAAAGACTGCTGAATTATTCAAGACTTCAGATTTCGTGAAGCACTAGACTCACTAAAGATAGAAATCTTATTCATTGTAAACACTTGAACAGGTACACTCGTATAATATAATTAAAAAACAACTTCAATTTTGACAAAATAAATCGTTGTGTGACAAAAAATTTCAATAGACACATTAAATTCAAATTTTGAATTTAGAATACAGAAATTAGTGTTGTAGACACTTGATTTTCGTATTCTAAATTTAAGTAGATTGTTCTCCTTAATAAGCAAAATTTAACTTTACAAAATTGCAAAGTGCCAAAATTTGTATAAGACTAATGAGGGAGTATAGTTTATATAAAATACACGGAAAATACACTGTCGCCCCGTCCTTTTTATTTTCAAGTAATAATACATTCAAGTAAAAAGAAACAAATGTGTTGCCAAAATAATTTAATTATTTGGATTTTTAAAATAATGCATTATTTGGTGTATTCCTTTCTTTCTCAATAATGCCTATTTATAATATAAAAAAGCTTTAAAACTGCTACCTTTTTTATAAAAGTATAATATATATATATATATACATACACAAAGTTCCACTAAGTGTCAACAATATACTATATAATCTTTATTGCATTTGTAAATTACATTGTTAATGCATTTATAAATGTTGTGAGCAAGGGTGGACTTATCTATGATAGAGATCTCTTCCAGTTAACCCAATACACTTAGAAAGCATGTCGTTAGCGGACAGCTGAAGTGCTACAACTATTAATATTTAGAATACGTATACAAATATACAGTTAAATGAAATATTAAAATATACAATAAAATATTACATAAATACATATACCATAAATAAATATAATACCTACCTACTTAATTAATAAATTATTAAATTAATATACTACCTGCATTAGAAAAGTTTAATGATTTTTAAGATTTCACAGTTCAATTAGAAAAATGAAAAATTAAGATTATGACTCAAGGGAAAAAGAATGTAATTAAATTTTTTTCTTAAAAGAGGTAATAAAACGACTCTTTTGTATGTGAGAAGTGAGTTTGTTCCATAAGTGGGCAACTCGATACGAGAAAGACTTCCCCACAAAATATGTCTTACACAAAGGAAGTTCGAGCTTCTTGGACTGAATTTGACAGCAGTGTTTACCACCAGAGCGGTAATAATGTAAACCGGGGGTGGAGGTACGATGGAGAATTGGGGTCATTATTGAGTATGTTTTTTTTAAGGGTGAAGATGGAGTGGTAACCTCGCCTGCGCTATCGGTATACGCTGACGGGGCACCAGTAAAGGATGACAGGTGAGGATGATGGCAGGTCAGTTGGCCCATAGAGACCAATTCAACAAGAATTAATCATTATGGTTTCCAGAGGGAACCGCGTGGAGGTTGACCTGATAGGATGTATTGCTAGCAATGAGGTTGTTAAATCTCATTACTAACAATTCCTTCCCCCCCCCCATTGAGTATGTTATAAAAGAAGGAAAGGATGGGCATATCACAATCACGACTATTAAGATACATAATGAAAACTATTGATAGGTTGGCAACAGGATAAGAGTTCGTATAGCTATACGTATATCGTTTATACACTCACTGAACCCTTTCACGGCGTCCGCTAGACTTTTTTGCAAGAAACTATCCATCCAGGGTTATCTATTATGAGAGAAAATGTCGTTTTTATAAAGAAAAACGACAAGAACCTGTCGAGGCTCATAAAAACATGATAAATATTTGTAGCATCAAACGTAATACGAATTTAGTATCTATATTGGTTGTAGTGTTATTGAAATATTAATATTAAGTATCCATATATCCATATATATTAATCCAGTGCCGTGTATTCCCGGAATAGATTAGTCACCCCTTCCTTTCTCGTGGGTGTCGTAAGAGGCGACTAAGGGAGTGTGAGGGATGGGCAGTAACGTCCCTCTTAAAACTTCTCTAAAGCTTGACTGCTGTTCTTAATTCGCCTGCTAAGTGTGGCCACTACTAGCAACACGGGGGGTGTTGCTAGTAGTGGCCACACTTAGGGGAGGCCTATATTCAACAATGGACATTTAACTGCTGAAATAATAATGATTATGATTTATGACTTCAACAAATTTATAAACATTCTTTTATTAAAATTGGCCCGCAATCAAATCCATCGTTGAAAAGATGTTTGGATATTTATTACTTAATGACATTTGAACTGTTGAATGAATTTGAATAAAATTTGATACACGAATATATAGGTATAAGTTATGTCCTGACATAAGACATTACAGAGTCTTAAGGGAAATGTGCAAGCATCTCAGGACCATTCCTAATAGCAGTCTATAGGGGAAGCCTATGTTCAGCAGTGGGAAAATAATGGCATAATACACAGGGTACTTTATATAGTGACTAATCCGCATTACCGTATCCCGGTACTGTTTCCTGGCCGGGATAAAAAGTAGCCTATATCTTTCTTCATCCCATATAGCCCGTGTATACAGAATTTCATAATGACTGGTTTAGCTGTTAATGCGCTAAAGTTAACAAACAAACATATTTGCAAATTTCTTTATTTTTCTCAAACTTGCTTGGAAATGTGAGCATTATTTTGACAATTTTCTTCGAGATAAATCCAAATTGCCGTACTGGCCAGATATATGCGGGTAGCGGCCGGCAAAAGTTGTATGAAAATCCATATCTGTCGTGTTTTGCGGCCAGATAAATTACTATGTAAACTCATATCTGTCCTGTAATTTAAAAATGGAATGAGCTTTTACTTTGAAACATGGCTACCAAGGAGGTACAAGGACTAATAAAAGGTTTTATTTAAATTTCGAACTGGCTTGCAAATAGAAAGCTGATATTGAAAAAAAATACAAAGAAACATTATGGCGCGTGAAAAATTATTATTGTTCGTTATTCGTCATTGAACTTAAAAAGTAAAATTGTTTTTGATTTCCGCGCATTGTTTGAGAAAAGTACTATCTAAGCCTTGGTCACAACTAGGCATTGATGGACTCACGTATGTGTGCCTCGGCTACGCCTCGGCCCACATTTGCACGTTCGTCCATCAATGCCTCAGTTGCTGGCCGCTGCAGTAATGTACTATAATACTTTATTGTACACATTAATTATACATAAAAATATGACAGAGGTAATCAAATGAACAATTTATAATATTAATAATGATGACAAAGTGCTATTTTTTTCATAACACAGGCGGCAAACAAGAATGTGGCTCACCTGATAGTAAGGACTACCGCCACCCATGATCACCCACAACACCAGAAGCATTACAGGTATGCTGCCGTCCTTTTAAATTATCTCTTTACCTAATTTTATGTATAAAGCATTAAAGTCTAATTCTCTTACATATTATATTTTATCATACGTAAACGAATTACTTATAAGTGCTTTACCAATTTCCTCACAGTTTCAAATTCATATAGAAAGTAAAAGCCATTATCTTTGAAGATAAAACGATTTTCGTAAAAATATTATTCTGGATCCAATAACACGCTTAGCTTCCACCTTAGATATTACTTTGGCGACTTCATACGAGAATTTTAACCGAGTGTCGAATAAAGGTAAAGTTTTTATACAACTAGAAATATCAAACAAGCTAACGGGTCGTTAGCTGATGGAAAGTGGTATGATAACCATTAGATAGTACCATGAACTTTATTTGCAAATTTGATAATAGGTATATAATTATTTTCCTTAATGTCTTACGCTGTTATTCCAAACTTGCTAAATTACGCAATATTTTCATACTTAATTGTACAACAATTAGTCCGTTACCCTAAGGTCGTCTTGAAAAAATTACTTTCAGCAATAAGACGCCTTACTGTACTCATACAACTCTGTCGTTACATTTATTAATTGTCTTGCTTATTCCCTATATTGTATAATGCAAATTCGTTCATTCATTCAATTCGACTAGTTTTTTTTTTTAATTAATATTCGTTAAAGTTTGAGAAACTTTCTTATGAAGATAAAAATTGGAAAAACCGTTTAGTAAAACGTAAAAATATGATTTATCTACTTCTTATAGAAACTGTTTTTAAATGCTTTGATTTTGAAAGGTAAAATAACTTCTATCCCTATCAGAAAAATGGTCCCAATAGGTAAAGGTAGGGGGCAAAAAGTATTAGTACTATTATTTGTCGGTCAATACGATTCTTCCCTCCTTTCTCCTCTCCCTCCCCCATTCCTCCCTAATAATTATCATTGTACTAAATTACTAACCTCTTCTTCCTCTATGTCTGGGTGAGTTCGCAGGAGTGCTGTGCTCTGAACTCTGGTCAGCAGCATACTCCGTGCCACTGCTATCGGGTCCTGGGGCGAGGGAGAACATGGTGCCAGCCGGACATCTCTCCCGACTCCTGCTCCGTTGCCATCGGCTCTGAGTAAAAGAGAAATTTTAAATTGACAAATATTCCATACTGACTACGTTGTAGTGCATATAAGTTTATTTATAATTTCATGTACCTATTATATATATTCTCTTACTAACTATATAGCTATTTTTTTAATGGGCGATAATGGTATGATATCCCCGCTTGCGCTATCGGGATACGCTGGCGGGGCACCAGTGAGGGATTATAGGTGAGAATGAAGCAGGTCAGTTGGCCTATCGTGACGAATTCAAGAAGAATTGCTCACGATGGTTTCCAGGGGGAACCACGTGGAGGTCGACCTAATAGGGCATATGGCTAGCAAAGAGGCTGTCAAACTCCATTGCTAACAATCCCTTTCCCCCCACTGTATAGTTATTAACACAGTGAAGACTCTATATAAGCAACTCATTTGAACCAATTTCAGTAAAAAAAAAATCTTATTGGGAAAAGTTGCTTATAGGGAAAAAAGGAGTATAAAAATACTTACCGTCTGGAAAATATTTTTACTTATTTCTTTTACTAACTAAGCTGAGTAGAATAAATAAAATATAAAGAATGTTGCTTATAGAGAGGTTGCTTATATAGAGCGTTCACTGTAATATAATTTATTCTTTTTGTACCATGTTATGCTTTATATACAAGTCCTATAGACACTTTCTCATTTCGGATTCTCAAGATTGACTGGAAGAAATTCTTCTAAGGGATAAGTCCGTTCGCATATATTTTTGTTTTAAATAAATATCCATATTAAAAGTGAATGTACAAAATTCTTTAAATAAATAAGTTCTTATATATTAAAATCAATTATTAAAGTAGATACTAATTATAACACATGACTATCAAAAGTGTACGAGAAGTGGATCGATGACACGCACAACCTTTGGGCGTGACGTAGCCTTATTTCATTATATTTTATGTGTAAAATATTTTTTTATACCTTTTTTTTTATACAACTTAGAATGGCAAACAATGACAAACCGAAACACAGCCATACAAACAGAACTGCTTCACGGTTGAAACACGAATGGGACAGAGGTACCCAAGCAATCGACTTTTGTACAAAGTCTTCCTCTGGTAAATATTACTTATGTTTTTTTCCATTCTAGTTTTTTCAAGTTGAAAAAGACTATATTATTACAGAGTAATATGGACTGTATTTAAAAAAAAGAAACTATGTTAAGGCAAGTCACTAATATTTTATAAGGCGTTACTCTGTAATAAATAATTAAGTACATCTTGAGGCTCATGTCACGCGTCATACGTAGGGTAGTAACCCCTGGCTAATGTCCCTTGTGAATTAAACAGTAGTGCTACGTAATGCTTGCACAAACATAGGGACATATTTTTTTATTAGTGGAGAGCAAACTACCATGGACTTAAATTTTAATTTTATTTATTTAACAAGGAAGAGCCACAGTACAAGTTTATTATTTTTGACACGAATTATGGCGGCGGAAAATTTTTTGAATAAATAAATACTTTACTTGCATTATACAATATACTAAGTATACTTTATTTGCATTATACAATGTAGGAAATAAACAAGACAATTAATAAATATAACGATACAATTGTATAAGTACAGTAAGGCGGTCTTATTGCTGAGAGCAATCTTTTCAAAACCTAGCCTTAGGGTAATGGACTAACTGTTGTACAAGTAGGTATTGTATAATTAAGAAAATTAACAGAATAAAACATTAAGGAAAATAATTATAAGTATTTAGTATATTGTTACGGGTTATCTTGCAAATAAAAGGAACATTTATTAGTTTAAATATATAATAGATGGATTGATAACTTGAATTAAATCACAACTTAAATCTATGTTGAACTAAAACTAAATTTGGGCGCCAGGAGAGTTTTTATGTTGCTGCGGAACTCTGCCAAAACCAAACTACGGCTATCCTCAGGGATAATTAATGTGTAACTTCAGGATTCAATCAAGGGCATTTCCTCAGGCTACAATAATGAAGACACATCGTTATTAACTGTAATATTGTATGGAACTGTTAATTAGGTATGTCAATTTGTAAGTCTGAACTTACCACTTCGGTATGTAATCATCTAAAATCAATTAAGATTGGAGAACTCGTTTAACAGTGATTTACTAATGCCGATAATATTTAAATACTGTTTCTGTTCACTAGTATTATAATAACGAAACTCAATAAGGTCAGCTTAAACCACTTGATAACTTTCTTTATTCCACCTCTCCACACATGCCGTTTGCTGTCACCATCTCATCTTTATGTACCTACATTTTATTGATGATATTTATTATTCGACTACCCTGTGACTACAGGGGGGAAAGGGATTGTTAGCAACGGAGTTTGACAGCCCCTTCGCTAGCAATATGCCTTATTAGGTCGACCTCCACGTGGTTCCCCCTGGAAACCATCGTGAACAATTCTTGTTGAATTCGTCACGATGGGCTATCTGACCTACTTCATCCTCAGCTATCACCCTTCACTGGTGCCCCGCCTGTGTATACCGATAGCGCGGGTGGGGTTACCATTCCATTATCATCCATTAAAAAAAATACCCTGTGACTACACTATATTGACAGCTAAACATATACGGGGTGAATAGATCTTCCGTATCACAAATAGTTCCTTAAAAATCTCATGCAGTTACAATCTACCGGAAAATTATATATGTATAATAGTCCAAGTTATTTATTCTACGTTTGCCAATTTTATATGTACTATGTTTGTATATTTTATATGAATGAGGATATTTTTTTTACGCAACTTAGAATGAAAAGTAGTAATCGTCGCCTACAGACATGAACAGTATCACGGACATAACAGAGTATGTTGTATCGCTAATGCTAATATACTTTTCAAGCGTTGCCGTTCTTGTGGATTAAGGTGTTATTCTTTTACCGCATTAGCCGTTGATTATACACTCTTGAACATAAACCTCCCCCATAAGGGAAGTTTTGCCAGTAGTTGCCACGCTTGACAGACGGGTTAACAACCATTGTCAGTCTTTGGTGATGCGTCAAGAGGAACACTGCTGCCCATCCCTAGACTATTAAGTTCCCTTAGTCGCCTCTTACGATACCCAGAACAAAAGAAAGAGATATCTTATTCTTTGCCGGAACCATCCGGCATATAAGGTGTTATTTCTTTGCACGCTGTAATTTTATTGTCATATCCCGCCCATGAAACCAAAACACAACCTTATAAAAACAACTGCTTCACGGCAGAAACATGAATCGGACTCTGGTACTCAAGTAGACGACTTTTGTACCAAGTCTTCTTCTAGTAAAAAAATATCCTAATGCAAATATACATTCTTGTTATAATCTGTCCAAGTACAAAATTTTTTCAAATTCATTCAGCTTAAAAACAAACATATAAACGTTTTTCAAACTTTCATATTAATAAAATTAACGGGAAAATAAATTTGACTTGAGATGACAATGCCATTATGAAATTCTGATTTCTAAGAATCAAGTAAAATAATACCTATTAAGGTACCCAGCTGTAAGTCTCTGTGACTGAAAATAACATCTGCACCGAAATTCTGCGAAATTTAAAACGACAAATTCCATACATTTCGTCGGTTTACCAATTAGCGTTTATGGCTTGAGTCGCATTACCCTCGTTAGACATAAAAGTGTTTACACAAAGTTAAATCAATTAAATGTGTATTTTAATTAAGTTATAAGTTATTATACATTTCTTTCAAGTATAAGTTTATTATACATTTCTTGTAATGCTACGCTAAGGGCCATGCTTAGAGTTATGCGTGACAGAATCCGAAATAAGGATATTCGCAAAAGAACTAAAGTTTTTGATGGAGAGACGACCTCAATTGCATTGCAGGGAGTCAGTGGACGCAGGTGGGTCAGGACCATTTCTTATGGCAGTCTATGGGGGAGGCCTATGTTCAGCAGTGGACGAATAATGACTGAGATAACGAGATGACGATTTCTTGTAAAATTTGTACGTTATAGAAATAACTAATTTGCGTTTAACCTGCGTCCTGGTTTTCGTGGAAACTTTATGAAATTATGAAATGTCCCTAATAGTCACTAGAGAAAGACTTTGTACAAAAGTCGATTGCTTGGGTACCTCTGTCCCATTCGTGTTACAACCGTAAAGCAGTTGTGTTTGCATGACTGTGTTTCGGTTTGAAGGTTGGGATATGGCGTGAATTTACTGGGTACAGAGGAATAACACCCGAGTCCTTAGGAATGGCAACGCATGGAGGATATCATGGGCGAAACTGTATACTCTGTTATGTCCATGGTACTGCTCATGTCTATAGGCGACGGTTACCACTTTCCATTAGGTGGACCGTCAGCTTGTTTGCCATTCTAAGTTGTATAAAAAAAAAAAGTTTTGATATTCTAATTATCCGTACTAATTATAATAAATGTGAAAGTGAGTTTGTTTGAATGGCACCCATGAGCTCCTATTGATGCTGAACATTATTAGCACTTTGTGAAATTTGGAATTCATCTTTATAAATCATCTTTAGCCTTTAACTGTCCACTGTTGAACATAAGCTTCCACGTAACACGCTGAACATAAGTTGCCACGACTGGCAGGATTATCCACCTCAATCAGGCTTTAGAGATGTTTTTAGCGGAACGCCGATGCTTATCGCTCGCCCTCCCTTAGTCGACTCTTATGACACTCACGGGATAGGAAGAGGTAGCGTATTCTATGCCGGGAGGACATGGCATCTATATGAATGTTAACCAACAATACTAGAAAGGTTATCTGAACTAATTCAAGTATTATGAAGATGAAGGATTTAATTTTTCGTTTGTAATTCCGTGTGGTCCCGGCATAGAATAATTTACCCCTTCCTTTCCCGTGAGGATCATAAGAGGCGACTAATGGAGGGCGAAGTGTGACATTTCTTAAAACACCCTATTTCGCAGGTAGGATGGTAACCGCAGTTAGGCTTTGGTAATGTTTTACGAGGGACGCTTCTGTCTATTACTCAACTATTAAGTTCCCTTAATCGCCTCTTGCAACACCCACGG